TGTCCATCCTTTTCTTTCTTCCCTCATCTCCTCTGCTTCCTCTCCTCCATCTTGGGCAACTGGATAATGAAGAGAGTTTAAAGCCAAGGAAACCTAGCAGCTGGCAGCAGAAAGTGCCACGGAACTGCAATAGTCTCCTATATGTGTAGCTCTGTACACCAGCATAGTAGATCATCCTGATTTCTTGATTTTCACAGTGTTTGTAAAGATCCTTTCTCATTTGGCATATGACATTAATTTTAATTTTAAAAAAGGAAAACATACTTTTCTTGAAGGACTTTGTAAAAATACTTTAATTATGTTCATCTTAGTTAAAAGAAAGTTGCTTTGATGAGAGGCAAATTATCATTGTTTTTTAGAATTATCATGCATTTTAGTCTCTGAGTAGTGCAGACAATAGCCTTATGTTGATGCATTCATTCATTCGTTCGTTCATTCATTCATTCATTCAGCCACCCATTCATTCAGTCACAGCATTAATACTGAGTCCCTCTGTATGCCATTATCTAAATTCAAACAGCAGACATGTGGCTGGATCCTGAGTTCAATCATTTGTTACACAGCCCACTTCATATTTGTTATTGCAGATCAGATCTCTATAGATTGTGAGGCATTAGCAAAACAAATAGCTTTGGGGGGAGACAGAGCCTATATTTATAGCATTTGATGACTGTCATGATAAAAATATTATGGACCTAGCCTTTATCAAGACAGTATCAAGCCTGATGCCACATATTTTAGACATGGGAAGAGATGAATGTCACAAAGTCTCAAAACACAGCTTAAGTTACTTTACTTACAAAAGTTGTTCTTAAAGTCTACTCCATGGAACACAGCATCATTGCCAGGGTGTTTGTAAGATATGTAAAATTTCAAACCCTGAAGACCCCAGAATCTGAAAGGAATGGAGGGCCCCAGCCTTACCTTTCCCCATGCTGCCTGAATTTCTGGTGCTGGGAATCTACAAATTTTTTACAAAGGCCAAGAGTCTTTAGCGATGATGTAAGAAATGAGTTGATAAAACATGCTACTTTATTAGTACTGAAAAGAAAAAAAAATCTACATCTTGTGTTTCATCAACCCCCCTGAAGGTATGTTAACTATTAATTACTGTCCTAAATTTTAAAACTATATTTTCTTATTTTTATAAATGATGTGTATGTATCTGTGTGTACGTATGTGCCCGTGAGTGTAGGTGTCTGCAGAGGCCAGAGGCACTAAAGTCCTGGAGCAGGAGGTACAGTGGTTCTTAATTTTCCTAATGTGTATGCTGGCAACCTTCTGGAGAAGCAGCTAGTGCTCCTATTCGTTGAACTATTTCTAGCCTCCTAATTTATAAATAGCAGCTGATGGAGTTTACAGAGTTGTCATTTTCTTAGAAAAAGGACCTTTGTTTAATCAAAGAAAACATGTTTTTTATTAAAAATAATGTTCTCTTTATCTAGATTAGAAAAAATAACTTTGAAGCCAAACATATCAGTCTATGTCTGACACTGTGAAACCATTATCCTTCTGCTAATTTATTTGAAACAATAACTGTTATCAAAAGTGAATTTTTTAAAGTAAAAAATAATCCTATAAGAACAATCACTGGATGTGATTGTTTTTCTCTAATATTCTAAAATAACATCTATTTAAATCAAAGTTGAGAAGGAATCAATCAAATAATAAAGTCTACTCGATTTAAAAAATTAATTTCCATATACAATTTCCCCAAGAGCACTAAGCAATACATATTGCAGAAAATGTTGCTCACCAAAGTGAAATTTGCATGACATAACTCATAGCAAGGAAACAAGAACAGTTATCTAAGATAAGAATATTTAATTATGTCCTTTAAAGCAACAGCATGTGCTTTTAAGAATGTTATAGAGAGCTGACAAGAAATATGGTTTGAACAGTTAGCTGAGTATTAAGTAACTCACAAGAACTGATTGCCCTGTGCTATTGATGGGCTTTTACTAAAGCTATGCAGAAGTGAAGCCTTTCTCTCACGACTTTGAGAAAAGGGGAAACAAAGCACAAAGTCTGCACCATTTTTCCACTGTTGGAGACAAGCCAGAAAATCAGAGCAGTATTTAACTGCACAGTGGACACAGAATGAAAGAGAGGATTAGAAACAACCCCCTGGATGTCTCAAAGCCAGCATGTGGAGATAAAGAATGTGATGGACACTTGGCCTTGTACTGAAGAAATTTATTTTTAAATGTAATTTTGGGGAATACCAAATCTATGATGCTAGAAGTTATTATTATTTTTCAATATATACTAATTGTCAGGTTTTTGCTTATTTTTGCTTCCCTGTATAATCTCACAACATTATATTTATTATCTGCATACATGGTTGAAGACCAAATGGTGATGACATGTGTCTAACTCACAATTTCCAGGGCATAGTCTTTTTTTTATTATTTCAAGACTTTGTTCAAGTGCTGATGACATTCAAATGGTTCAAAACTCAAAGTAATGTGCAGTGGCATTCATGCAAAAATCATGCTTCTACCCCTCCTTTTTAATGCCCATCTTTACTTGCTGTAAATAACTGGAATACAAATATTTGTATTCCTTTAATCTCTTTTGACACTATTCATACTTTTATCTTTATTTATTTTTTGAGACAAGGTCTCTCTATTATGTAGCCCTGGCTGTTCTGGAACTCCTTATGTAGATCAGACAAGCCTTAAGCTCACAGAGTTCTGCCTGCCTGTACTTCCCAAATTCTGGGATTAAAGGCATAGGCCACCACACCCTGCTTCTACTTTTTTTTTTAATTGAGTGTTGTACTATGGTGATATATTATTTATGATCTTAAAAAGATTTCCTGAAGGATCAGAATGCAATGCTAGCCACAGCCATTAGAAGGTGGGCAGTGGTGGCACACACCTTTAATCTCAGCTTTCAAAAGACAGAGTTAGATGGATCTCTGTGAGTTCAAGGCCACCCAGGGTTATAAGAGAGTGAATCAGTCTAAAAGAGTAACAGAGCTCATACTTTTAATCCCAGCACTATAGAGGTATATAAGAAAGAAGCAAAGGGTCTCATGTGGGATTCAATTTCCAGTCACAGAGAAGACAGGATCTCCATTTCGGCCTTGGTAGAGGTAAGAGCTACTGGGTGGCTGCTTTGCTTTCCTGATCTTTAGCTTGAACCCCAGTAACTGTCCAGGGTTTTTAATAATTGTATTATCTTTAACTTTGATAATCTCTCAATTTCTTGCCAAGATTTCCCCATTTTTCTTTACTTCCTGCTTTTCTACCTTTTGGTAAACCATCATTAATTTTCTTGACATTCAAAAATTTTAAGTTAGTATAATATAATATCTGATGTTTAGGCAATTGTAATAGCTTTCTTAAATTGGGTGTTTTAATTTGAGAAACAAGAATTAAATACAACATGTTTGCCAAGATGTGATTACACATGTCTCTTATATAATTTTCTAAGAGAAACACCAACTTTTAGTTTTAAATGGAGGGTGGAGAGTATGCAACATAGCATTCTTTTTATAATTGTCACAGGACACATGTTGTTTTAATTGAGGCAAAAATGGTTATGAACATAGACTCAATCAAACACAAAACGTCCATTTCATTAAGTTTTCATTTGGGTAAAATCACTTGGGTTCTTCCAACTTATCCAGAAATATTTTGGTATATTTTATGTGAACACTAACTTTAATAGGCCAACACAAGAATATTTATTATGGTTTGGAAGAGTTCTATACTGCATCATTGTCATGAAAAAGCAAAAAATATAATAAAATAAAATGAACCACAACTTATGAAATCTTTTTATGGGCTGAAATACTATATAATTTAAAGTTTAATGATACATAAAATGTTGGCAGTAACCCATCAACATTTGGAGGTGAAATAACCATTGTATTCCACTTGAAAACCAATAATTATGTGTCTGTTTCCATGCTCTAAATAGTCCCAACAGGGTTAGCTCACCACCAGCAGGACTGACCATATTCCACTCATGGCTACAATTGGCATTTACTTTCCCAGAATTGTCTATGAAGGAGCCAAAGCTACTGAGGCTTTGAAGTACATTTATATTTGCACAGATAACACCAATAAGATTGAGATCACTTACTTTATGTCAAAATCAACACCCAACCACTTGTAACCAAGTGTATTTGGCCTACAGACATATTTTGTTCATAAGTATGGTGCTATAAATGTAAATCAATTGGGACATGATGACACAGGAGGCAGAGACAGGTGAATCTCCGAGTTTCAGTCCAATCTGATTGAAAGAGACAGCTCCAGCACAAACAAGATTAAATAGAGAAACTGGCTCTCAAAACAACAAGACAATGTGAATCAATATTAAAGGAGAGAAAATTTCATACTGAGAAAAAAATAAATCATAGACTTTGAACAATATTTTTACACGACAGCATCCAAGGAGAACTGAGGAGAAAGAAATTTGATTTTACTTGTTTTCCATCAGAACCACTTCTATTACATTGCCTATGTCAAAGCTATTTGTCATAGAGGAATATATACTTACAAAGCCAGACCTTTTAAAGAATGGTGGAGTGAGAGCATAGACAGCAATCTCTAAAATTGACTTGCTTACTTCATTTAAGTTACTTGCCTAGAAAAACTATGCATTATTATGATCCCTGGTCTAAACGTTATTTCTACCATTATTTTTACATGTAAAAATGTTTGCTGCATTGTTGAGGATTATTAGTAATAACGGAATTACAAAGTTATTACAATAGCTTGAGTATGTCATTAAATCCAAGAGAGAGAGAGAGAGAGAGAGAGAGAGAGAGAGAGAGAGAGAGATTGAGCAAATTATAAAAAATAAATCTCTGATTTTTATGTTACTCAGTCTCAAGTACCCTGCTATAGCAGTTCATAGAGAACAAAGCTACCTGCTATCACCAAAATATCCCCAGCCCCTTCCCATTATAGAATTGTAGAAGAGAAACAATTCTCCTTTGAGTAAGTTTTTTTCACCTTTACCAGTATTTGAGAGATCTTCACCTGTAAATAGCCGAAGCCGGGTGAGAGCCGGTGTCATAGCTGGCTCGAACTCGCCCTCGATAGAGTTCCACAGCAATGTGGTCTTTGTCACCCTTATACAGGAGGATGCCGCTGTCTTCATCTGTGGCAATCTAGTAGGAGGTAGCCCTGATGTTAGGATGCACAGTCAACCAAATTCGTCCAAAGAAACAGGCTGCTAGGTGAAACAGGGCTTTACACTAAGGTTTGTTTTGTGGCTATGAGAAAATAATGCTTGTTAAATTATTGCTTAAAGGCAACTTGTCTTGGAATTGTGTTGTAAATAAGTAAAAAACAACATTAAGAAAAGTAACAGGTATTTAAGGAAACCTCGTAGACGTCATGTCCGAATTGTCTTTGCTGGAAATGTTCATGTATCTGTAGTTTGGTTTAGCTAGAAGCTTTATTATTGACATACAATAAATGTGACTATATTAAGCAAAATGGATTCTCAAAACCCATACAAAATTATTTACACTCATACCATGGGCAGCAAGAAATAGGATATATCTGCTTTTATATTGATTTTTTTCTTTTGGGGCTTTAAAAGGATTTAAATGTAAGTTAGAACTGAAAAGCCCCAATACCTGAATACTTCACATAATTATTCAATGTGGCAAGAAATATAAAGTGGATGGTGTGAAGAGAGATGTTTAAAGAAATCCTGCCTCTTTCATGAGGTCCTTGGCTCATAATTTCAGAAGCCCTGCCCCTATTATCAGTGTCACGTTAAAAAAAATATAAAAGGAGGGGGAAGCTATTGGAAGAGGGCCCAGGGTCATTTAAATTTAAAATAAACTAAATAATTTTGCTTACTAATTAAGCAAGAATTTATCCCTAATTTGTTCAAATACTCCACATTTATTATCTCTAATCTAGTGCAATTCAAACCTTGCTTAATGGTAATTTCTTAGTAGTGAGACATAAAAATGTTCGTTAATTCCATGCCTTTTTCTCAAGGCTCTGGATGAAGAGCTACAGGTGATGGCCAAGTCAAGGTGTTTGGTCTTAGCTGTGTGCTTCTCAGCTGTAAGTTTCCTAAGAAACACCTTTCCCATGTGCAGAATAAGGGCAGAGCCCTCAAAATTAATGGACAAAATACCTTCACTTAAAGTGTAAAGCAAAGAGGCAAATTTGGTGACTCCCCACCCTCCCAAACTCCCAACGCTTTAGTGAATTAATATACTGGTTCTTGAAGGAAAAATTCTTAAGTTTTTGACCCGGGCAAGATTTTCCTCACTCTTACAAGGCAGCTAAATGTGACCCCCAATCAGCTCGTCTCCTTTGAGGGTACCTCTCACCTGAAGTGTAATGTTCGTCTGAGGCCAAACCTTGGCTGAAGGAATCTGAAGATAGGACTCTTTGTTTACAAAATTCACACTGACGAGTTTTTCACACTTCTCTCCCAGGTAGCCAGGCAAACACTGGCATACTGGTTCATTGATCCTGATGATGCACTGAGCTCCATTCTGACAATCAAAATTATCACAGGGGCTGGTGCGAGGGAGCACCATGGGTGGAGAAAACTCACAGAACAAGCCACTGAGAAATACAAAGAAAAACTACGTTAGATTGGATGTGCTAGAGTCCTAGCGATATCTCCCTAAACACAGATGTGTACTCTTGTCCTCACCTGTAGCCTTCAGGACAGGTGCACGTATAACCATTCACTGCGTCAGTACAGTGAGCACCATTTTTGCACTTGTTATCTTGGCAGTCGTCAAAGTCAATGTCACAGTGCTCACCAATGTATCCTGGGGTGCAGTCACACCTATTTCAACAAGGAGATGAAATTTCAAAGTTTTGACTGAGCCAAAAGATCACAGAAAACAATGAGATTTTATCTGGATAAAATGGCACCATCTTAACATGAAAACATAATTAAGAGATGTCTAGAAAACAGCACAGGCTACATTGTGAAGTATGGCTTTCTTACTGTCAGGGGAATGCTGGTTAACTCCTTAATGATAGGGGGCAACCTAAATGCAAACACAAAGAAGCTCACTGTAGCAGGGTTTTTATTTCTTTCCTTTCCTATTCTCCACCTATATTGCATGAAGTGTCTTTCATTTCTGTTCTTAATTCCATTGTCCATTTTGATAATGAAAGTCTAATATGCTAATTTATAAGGGAGATTTATAAACTTGCTGCAATCGTCCTGCTTCTGACTCCTGAGTTCTGCGATTACAGTCATGTGCTACCATGTCTGTCAAGTTTACAAAGGATATTAAATATATTTTAAACATAGTAATAGCTTTATTTTGTCACGGACTAGAAATACTAGAACACAATATAATTGAAGAAAAATGAAATTATATTGGATACCCTGAGTATATATATATATATATATATATATATATATATATATATATATCCATATCATCCTGGCTGCAGTTTCTCCTCCCAGTAACTCCCCTTACCCACTGTTTCCATCCCCAAATCCACTCCTCCATTTTTGTTTAAGAAAGGACAGGCCTCCCATGGATATCAACAAAACATTGCATATCAAGTTGCAGTAAGAGTAAGCATCTCCCCAGGTATTAAGTTTGAGTCTGGAAACTCAGTATGGGGAGTAGGATCCCAAAAATTCTGGGGTCAATTCTATGTGTGTTTCTTTAGCTTCTTCACTTGTATTGTGTAGAGGCAGAAAAGATGTGAATTCTATTGATGATGAAGGAATGGAGTACTACACACTATACTCTTAGAGCATCTCCTTGGTCCCAGTATACATTTTAAGAATATGGGTTCAGATAACCTATTCTAGCATTCTACAGCTCAGAAACATTAATGAAAACATTACACTGACTGTACAGGTATAGACTCAATGGGTGATAAAGCTCAAGCCCATATCCACCGACAGGTACTTGCAAATGCCCCATGTGGGAAGTGGATCTAGGGAATCTGACTAGAGCTCAAGGTTCTCTTTTGAAACTGTGCTCTGGTGTTGATCATTGCAGATTCCAACACTGGCATTAAGGAACGAGGACTTCATGACTACTAGGGAATTACATATACTGCACATACAATGGTTTATAGACTATTGAATCCCTCATTTAATTCAGGTTCCAGCTATCCAAGGTGCAAATTCTTCTCTGAGATTCCAGATACAAACAATAAAACAGGATGTCTTAAGTTGTACATCTTTCAGAGTAGCATCAGATCCTGTACTGCCTACTGTGTCCAGTCCTGAGCATTTATCATTCTCTTATGCATACTGAATATCTGCTCCCTTCCCAGTAGGAACAAAATAAGCCTTAGTAATCACATCTACTTTTACAGCCCTGAAGTATATGTGTTCAGGAAACCTTACAGTAGTAGCCACACTCAGCATCACCATGCCTGTTGCTGGTAGGCAATGCATCATCTCACATATCATAAGAAAGATGAGCAGAGTATAGTACAGCACTTATTGTGGCAACTTTTTAAAAGTTTTGTTGTTCATTATTGCACATCTCTTATTGTACCTACTTTGCCAGCTGTATTTTGTCTTTAAAAAGTATAGGAAACAGATTCTAGATAGGGATTAATAGTGTGTACATTTCAGGCATTTCATGGATATGGGTCATACTCGCATATATATGTGTTGAGAAATTATAGGGATATTGGAATGTCTACAGTTATGGCCATCGATGGGGCTAACTCTTGTCATAGTGCTCTCCTTCTTCCACTCTCTTCTCACAACACTCTCCTGTTAAGATTTGTTCAGTTTAACTAATGGGGTTTCCATGAGTGTATTTCCTTTGAGTTTAAAGTGGGGTTCATTTCTATGTTATGAACACACACACACACACACACACACACACACACCAGGAAACCATGTTTTTATCCACAGATAAAAGGTTTGGGCTTTGCAGTTATATAGAACTCATATTCCATTCTGGCTTCATTTTTAAGTGTTTATTTTTTTCTCTGACAAATCAACATTTATATTATCTTAATGAAACTACAGACTTCAACATACACCATAATATGTTTTAATATATGTACACATTGGACCCAAAACCAAAGTAATTAAATATCCATTACTTCACTGTGGTGGTTAGTATTGTCTGCTTGACAGGGGTCATGTGGGATGATCTAGAGTACATGGTTGAAATAAGAAGGACCACTCCTGGCACATGGTGCCGTTTCTTGCCTGGAACCCCAGACTCTACAGATGAAGAAAGGGACATCTGTATTCACCTTTCTCTGATTTCTTATTATTACTGTGATTTATCCAGTTGTTTCCTCCTCTGTCATCCTAACCACCTGGCCAGGATGAACTGTACACTGAATTGTGAGCCAGGGTAAACTCCTTCACCTCCCAGCTGTTTTTTGTCAGTCTGTTTCATCACATCACTGGGAGAAGAAGCTAATAAATGTCCCATAGTTCCCTTAACCTTTTTTTCCCCACTTCAATGGCAAGGGTAATCTCAGCAAATGTGAGATGCACTTAATTGCCATCACTGTTTCTACATTAGCTCTCAGAACTTACTCATCTCCTCCCTATCTTAATATTGGAGACTAACATCCATTAATTTCCATTACACCTAAATTGAGGCATTGTCCCTATACTTTGATTCAATGATTCAACTTTTAAAATTCCAAATGAAATAACATCTTTCATCAGATTTTATTATATCAGGCTTATTTGACATGCTGTAAAACATCATTTTAACTAAGGTTTGTAAGTTTAAGTGTCCTCCTCTTATCTGTCGCACAACATAATAATTTCTGCTGTACAAGAATGTTAAATATTAAATAAAATGTTATGCATAAAGTAATTAGCATATTGTTATATATCTTCACGATTAATAAGCAATTCATATTTTCTTTCACTTTTTTTTTTTGGATTTTTGAGACAGGGTTTCTCTGTGGCTTTGGAGGCTGTCCTGGAACTAGCTCTTGTAGACCAGGCTGGGCTCGAACTCACAGAGATCCACCAGCCTCAGCTTCCTGAATGCTGGGATTAAAGGCTGGTGCCACCAATGCCCGGCTGAATTCATATTTTCTTAACTATGAGTCTTGATAATTCAAGAAAAGTCTTTCTATGTATTCTTTACTAATAATGCAGTATTTTATAAAAATTCAGTGTTTAAGTGAATAAAGATAGTTAGGAAAATACCTGATTGAATGTGGCAGTACTGAGTGCCAAAGGTATTGTCTAAAGCTGTGAAATCAGGTTACTTACTGAAGAGCTGATGTACAGCCACTTTGGAAATCAGTATGGTGACTCCTCAAGAAAATGGAAATGAGTCTACCACAAGATCCAGCAATTCCACTCTTAGGCATATACCCAAAAGAAGCACATTCATACAACAAGGACATCTGTTCAACAATGTTCATAGCAGCACTATTTGTAATAGCCAGAAACTGGAAGCAGCCTAGATGTCGCTCAACTGAAGAATGGACAGAGAAAATGTGGTTTATTTACACAATGGAGTACTACAATGGAATCTTGAAATTTGCAGGAAAATGGATGGAATTAGAAGAAACAATTCTGAGCTAGGTAATGCAATCACAAAAAGACAACCATGGTATGTACTCACTCATATGCGGATTTTAGGCACAGAGTAAAGGATTACCAGCCTACAGTCCACACTGCCAAAGAAGCTAATAAACAAGGAGGACCCTAAGAGAGACATACA